GTCAGGAAGCTCTTAAGCAGTTTAAGGCTGGTCCCATGTCTGACCTTGTCCTAACCTTTCTTCACCACGGATGCAGAGCGTGGTGTGGGGGCAGTTTTAGTGCAGATCAACAATTCCACCCTGCTGAGTTCCTCAATAAAAAATTCTCTAAGATGGAAAGCCACTGGTTTGTCTCTGAGAAGGAATGTTACGCCATTGTATATGCGCTAGAGAAGATACGACCATATATTTGGGGACGACACTTTCCTCTGCAACTGACCATTCTGTTCTGCATTGGCTACACTCAGTCAAAGAGACTAACAAGAAAGTCCTTCGGTGGAGTTTGGCTCTCCAAGTCTTTGATGTGACATACAACGCATCTCAGGAGCTTCTAACAAAGTGGCTGATGTACGCTCCCGGAGTGCCAGAGTGGAAAAAAGCCCTGACAGGCCTCTTCCCCAAAAAAGATCCGTGTGCTTCTTAGAAACATAACATAGCTACAGAGATGTTATCAATCCGACCAAGGACAAGAAATGCTATCCACAAACCTTCCCGAGTTGCCAGATTTCATGCTGTTTTTTGGGTTTCACATGCTTCCGGAAAAGGGGATTCAGTTTAGAGCTCTGACATCGGTTCTCTTTGAACTCCTCTGGCCTCCCGTCCACTGATGTGCCACCTCTGCCACAAGGTGTTCTGGAGAAAGCCAATGTGTGTGCTGTGGCTTTAAAGGCCAGCAAGGAGAGCGGCCACACCATGCTATAACTAACAGAGAAAGGACTGCAGTTAGTATATGGACAAGGCATTCCCATTGCTGTTGCACTAAAGGGACCGAACAGACTACAGCTGTACAAATCACTTCACCCACAGGAGAAATGCAGCAACCTCTGGGGTAGAACATGGCAAGCTGTTTAACAGCACAGAGGAACAGTATGTAGCAGTTTGGGATGGGCGGTAAGGAAGCAGATCACATCCAAGTTGAACTGCATGGGGAATCTAAGGAGACAGAATGCTGGATTTAGGCCACTGGGAATAACAACTATCTATCTCTAAGCTTTTCCAACACACCTATCAACATACCTAGCCACTGAGTGTTTGGGGTTTCATATCTTCTCCGATACACGGCTTCCCCTCTCACCACAGCACTCCCTAGCACCATAGGATGGCATTAGTCAGGACTGACTCAGAGGGAAAAGCATCCTCTGCCATAATTGAAAGTGCAGCCTGCAGACACAAACCCTGCCTGCTGTCATATGATCCTTGCAACCCACAGCTTAAACAAGCTTATAGGGGATGCTAGTGAAGCCCATTTAACAGCAGCATGTTCTTACCAAACTTCCTCCGGTTTTCCTTTCTCCAGCAAGAGGGCAGCGAGTTGCGGTGAGGGGAGATCAGTAAGCACAGCCTGCCAGGAACAAGGCAGCTTCCCCCAAAGATTATCGGTGAAAAACTCCTTCAGGGAAGAAAGGGTGATGGGGGAAGAGGAAAGTTTAGGCAAGAGCACGCATCAGCCAAGCCCACCCCCTGCCCTCAAACCACATCTGAGATAATGGTCTCATTGCGCTAGGCATCATACATACACACAGTGAGAGACAGTTCCTACCCCAAATTGTTTACAATCTAAACAGACAAAACAGATAGAGACCGGGAGGGGAAACTGAGGCACAAAATAGGGTAATGACTTGACCAAAGTCATACAGCAGGTCAGTGGGAAAGCCAGGAATAAATCCTAGTCTCCTAAGTCCCAGGCCAGTACCCTACAAGCTGGTCCATGCCACCTCTCAGCAAAGCTTAATTGGCTGCGTCTAGACTGGCAAGATTTTGTGCGCTTTTGCGCAAAAACTTGCCAGCTGTCTAAACTGGCTGCTTGAATTTGCATAAGAGCACTGACTTTGTGCTGTACAAAATCAGTGCTTCTTGCGCAAATACTATGATGCTCCCACTCAGGGATAAGCCCTCTTGCGCAAGAATACGTGCGCAAGAGGGCCAGTGTAGACAGGGAAGGAATTTTTTGTGTAAGAAAGCCCTGATGGCAAAAATGGCCGCCAGAGCTTTCTTGCACAAAATCGCGTCTAGACTGGCCATGGACGCTTTTGCACAAAAGCATCTGTGCCAATCTAGACGCTCTTTTGCGGAAATACTTTTAACGGAAAAACTTTTCTGTTAAAAGTATTAACGCAAAATTATGCCAGTCTAGATGCAGCCAGTTGTGTTTTGAATAGTACTCACAATGATGTAGGAGTCCACAATGGAGCCATAGAGAGAAAGGACATGGGTGATCTTCACTGCTAACTGCTTCTGCTTCTCCAAAGAGAGGGGCTGGCTGGAGAGCCCTGTCATGGCAATGGCTGCAAGGTGAACCTGAGAGATGGGAAATGGTGCATGAAGAAACCTCCTAGAAGGAAAAGGGGAGAGAATCACCAAACAGGAACATCTGAATGAACACACCTGGCTCCTTTAATGATTCTTTGCAGCAAGGGAACCATTCTGTAAAGGGGGTGGGGCTGGGAGTGGGAGGCACTTCCTGAGGAAGAGGGAAGGTCAGTCCAACAGGGCTTTTATCCCCTGGCATCTCTGCCTATGGGGATGCCAGGCATGGGGGTGGGTTGGTGACGCTGGCTCCTTTCCACTAGTAAATGGGCTGAGGTCCAGCACACTCATTTCAAGTATGAGGCTGAACAGCCTTCCAAAGTTCAGGATCCATGCTGGTGCTGAGAGGGGAAGGCCCCATGTATCCCATTGCCTCGTGCCACTGCTGCGCTGTGCCGTGTGGCAGCAGCTTGTGAACATGGCAGCGCTGGATGGTGAAGTGCCTTCCCGGGCAGGCTGGGTACCACGCTGCCGCTGTGTCGTCACGCGGTGTGCTGTATCGTGTGACTGTGTCACCAAGCGTTGCCATGACGTTACACTTACAACACAAGGCGTTGCCATGACGTTCGTCAGGGACACCACGTCATTGTGACATCCCCTCGGGGCACTGTCGCGCCATGACACTGTGACATAGCATTGTGATGTCACTCAGTGAGGTCATCAGAACATGGCGCAGCAATGTGACATCACCCATTACACTGCCTCACTGTGATGTCACACACTGCCATGACGTTATGCCGTGACATCATACCCCTGTGATGTCACCGCACGACACGTCGCCGCGACGTTATCCGTGATGCAGGTCTGTCTGTGACGTAATGCCATTGCGTCATCAGACGTCACCGTCCCGCGCCGAGACGGGCGCTTCCCCTGACGGAGACCGAGTATACCCCCTCCCCCTCGCACCTCCCTTGGGCCATAGAGCTCACTCAACCGCCGGGCTAGAGTGCCCAGCGGGCACGTTCCACCCACTCACCGCCAGGTCTCTATGGTCGCTCCCTCGCCGCAGCACCACGCACGCGCCGCCGGCGCACGAGGCGTATGCGCACGCGCACAATCTCGCCGTTGTGCCGCAACAGCCTAGGCTCACGCGTCCGCTGTCCTACGGCTGAGCCCGCCTCCCGCCCCTGGCCGGGCTCACTCCTGGCGCATGCGCACGCCATTCCGCGG